TTTCACAAGTCTACAAGAGGTGACGAATTCTATCGCCGTTTAAAACATTTTTTTTACAACACCAAGTGACAGGACGACCAAGTCGTGCACCTCGTGATAAGCGACACTCCTATCCATAACAGTTGCTGTGCCACTCAGAGCTTTAAATCGCAAGGTTTTTAGGGACACTGCCATTGCGCCCGTCACTCTGAGACATAAGTTGAAAGTCGCATGTGCCTATAATTTCACCAGCACCCTTACCCTCCTAAACCGGAACCCAGTAATACTCATATTACTGCTTGGCGGCAGAAATAGGTAATAATAATAACAATAATAATAATAACGCCTACTCATAGACCCACACTAGGGAAACCCTGTTTCGCAGGAGCCATGCACACACACACACAGACCACCATAAATTACACATAAACTCACGAGAGAGGCATTGATTGATTAAAAACCATTCTCCAAATTGAATTTCATCTAATTGTGTTCTATGTAGTGCCCCTTAACTTAATGTTCTTTGAATACCTAATTGTGAAACTAATAAAGAAGTAAAAAAGAAGAACTAAAAAATAAGAAAGAAGTTTTAAAGAAATTATTTTGTTTTTATTTGTTGTTTGGTTACTACTGCAAGCAAATTGTTATTAATTTGCAGTTTTATTATTAATACATATTTAAAGTATATTCTATCAAAAACATTAACTATATTAACTATTTAATTCGTAAAAAAGAATTCTACTTGACTTCCCCCACCACCGAAGACGCTGTAAGCAACGCTTTATTATGTGCTGTTCCCTCTATTCTCTCGATTAGAAAAGTAGTTCGTTCGGGCAGGATCGACTTGATTGTGTATTTATGCTCGCCTGTCATACCTTTGTGTTGTTCAAGATATTATAATTTTTTTTAAATATTGGACTTTATTTTCTAGTTTTAAGTAAAAAACTAATGATATGGTTCGGCCGCGCTCGCTGGTGCCTCAATTACTGTGCCGCCGGGGGCCATGGCTCCCTCTCCACCCCCACGCTCCGCCACTGATCACAGGGTGACAGACGCAGTGGCAGTGCCCCTCTGGTCTTTGCGATTTAAACTGGCCCTGCAAATACTGTGGTTAGGCGTGTTGCTTATCTCTCTTTGTAAAAATAAGTTCAAGGAGTTTAGAAAATGTAGTGTTCAATATTTCCCCATGAAGGTCATATCGGCATTCAAGTTAGATGATTATAGGGCTGGTAATACTAGGGTATGGACACTAGATAAGTGGATGACTTATTTACGATATTGTTTAAAAAAAAATATAACTGAATTTTCACCATCAAATAAGGATTTCATACATCATACAATTATATATAATTATTTGTCTATACATTTTAAGAAAACTTGAATATATCCTCTTTATCAATCAACTAGGTTATTATTTCCATTTATTTATGTACATTTTTATATGAAAAACCAAAGCTTTGATTATATTGCATTTTATTTGTTATTTTCGTAAGCACCAATATTAGATACAACTATTGTTAAAATTGGAATTTATCCTTAATGTTATAATTCAATGGTACAGCATGCCTTTAAACATATTATAGTATATAAATTAACATAGGATTTAAAATTATTAATATAATTAAAATAGGCTTCAAAATTATTTTCATATGGGTCTATCAACTTTTTTAGTGACACTATGATGAATGGTATTTGATAGTTCTAATCTGTATTGATATTATGATAGTTGTAATAACTATTGATATTTTAATTTATATTTTTTTTTAATTAGATTGATACTTTAAGCTAGTTTTCAGAGCAGTACGGAGTTATCTGCGGGCCTTCCGTGCGGGACACCGGAGCGGAGTAACGCGTGGAACATCGTTTTACAGTGACGCGTGAACTCCGCACAAGCCACCCGTGCGTTCATTGTAGGCGACCGTCTTCCGTGAATATCTGCATTAATTTAAATATTCGATTCGCAGCACTGCGGATAACCCGCAGGCGGACAGTCCGTACGGACCGTACGCACAGCTGTGAAATGGGTATGAATTATTTTTGAAAATATTCATGAAAAACTCAATTGTTTCATTGTGGTTGTGTTTGGTGCAGTAACAGAACTTTTTAATTTTTTTTTAAATTAGAATAGAGCTAAGGGCACGGGCACCTTCAAATTAAAAGCTTACGCTGCGGTGGCTCCACAGTGGCGCTGCAGTCGCGCTTACGCGCGCACTTATTTTCATACAATATTTAGCGCGCGTCACTTTTGCAATCATAATAAGTGAACTAAAGTTTACTGTAGCACTTCTATAAGCGTCTAATTTGAAGGCATAAGACTTTCATGTACCATAATCAAATAATTTTTGTTACGATGACTATTCATAATTTTTGTTACGAAGATACGTAAATATTCAGGGTTTTAGGAAGAAGTTTTGCGTTACCCATGGCACAGACTTTATGTAGTTTTTTATATAAACGTATGATAAAAATGGAAAAATATCATTTTAGATTTAGACTGCCAAATTTAAATTTTATTTAAAAAGTTTGTCACAGACGAGTGTCGGTAAGAAAGTAGATTGACCCATACACATAGGTACATCCACATAAATCTTCAAAATTATTTTTCTCAAACATGCTCGGAAATGTTTGCATTACTTTCAAAAAGTGAACACGGAAAGCTTGTCTTTTATGGACCACGCGACTTCTCCCGGCCAAGGCCTGCAAAGTAAGTACGGAAATCCATTACTGTCCTCTTCTCTAAACTTTTAAATGTACCTACTAATAATGAACTACGTAAACAGGCAAAAAAAAAGCTCATACAGCCATCTGCCCAGTGTTCATAACTGCGAGAATTAAAAATACCTAACTGTACTGCTTACTTAAAAAAAAAAGAAAATGGCGGTAACATTTAAACTAAAGTGTTTTGTTTTGTCGTCTTTTTTGTATTTTGGGCGCGAAAATGAGTGCTAGTGAGAAGAGTAATAACGAAACAGATACAGATTCAAACACATCATCAGAGGTCAGCGGACTATAATGAGCCTGGAAAACAATAACGTTTTCTTTTAGCAATTGTATTGTACAAATTTTAATGATAATTAATATGTTTTTTACTTTTTCTAATATACATCTTCCTCTCTTTAGTCTTCTATTATTTCCTCGCATTGTTTGAGAAAAATTCTGTACATGCCTCGGCGGGAACGGGGATTGCTTGACTCGTATTAATATAAGGCCTCGCTGACGCTCGTCCTTGTAACTCATACTCGTCCAACAATCCCTTACTTCCCGGCTTCTGCAATAATGTACTATAATTATATATATACATTGACAAATATGTATCTACATTTATGTATTGCAAAAATGGTTTCGAATTTTACTTTAAAATATCGTAATAATAAGGTATTAATAATACCTAAATAATGACTTATTGTTCAACAAATTTTACAAGCTAATGTACATTTGTTTTACAAAATTATGAAATATTATGTAAGATTTCTCTTTTTAATTTTCATAAAAGAAATCTTAGAATAATAACGCATAGAAACCTAGCCCGCACACGCTAAGTGAGGCAAATTGAAGCGCTCCCAAAGGCCCTACACGAGCGGGCGGGCCTTCAGTGCTCAAAGTCAACTTGCACCGCGAACAGCTCCAGAATTTTAGCTAAAAATTCCGAAATGTGCGGTAAATGAGTGTAAAAATATGTCAGTCAAACATAAAATAGATACTAACATCACATTCCACAAGGGAGTTTCAACTTCTATTTTTTTATAAATATTCACTAAAACCGAAAATTAACCTACTACTAACACTAGCCTACATGAATTTGATTTTTGCCTCACTTGTGACAGTTTGTTTGATATGAAACTATCATTCTATGCGTTATTATTCTAAGAAAGAAATATACTGAGCAAAAGTAATATTAATTGTGTAAACAATATCAACTGTAGTTCAATTTAATTGAAAAGGTGCACAAACTGCAAATTTAGTTCTGTATAACTGTTTTTATTATGCGCCAATCGCATTTGTTAATCTTGAACATGTTACTTGACAAAGCAAAAAAGACTTACAAATAATTGTTACTAATATTTGTAACGTTACGCGTAGTAGGCGGTGTCATTACATACATATCTGACTTTACAAGTAACTTTTCTGATATTTGAAAAAATTTCTACTTGTTATTGAATGACATTGATAAATAACAAAACATTTTTGCTTAGATATTTTATCACATTCACAGTAATAACATTAAAAAATTTGAAATTTGACATTTTCAGGAAACCTGACGTAATTTATTTGAAAAAAAAAATAGAAACAACAGAATACCTTCTTTATTATAATGTATAGAGTAATGATGTTTGACACCAACGAAATGGCACATTTGGCTGATGCCACATATTATGTAACATTTCTAATAAATTTTCAAAAATTTTTGAATTTGGTCAGTTTATAACTCAGGGTGCGATATAATGTTAAGTTTATAAAAGAAAACAAAAAAGAGATAGAAGAAATCATAAAAATATCCCAAATCAGGCAACATAAATGAATGTCATCTTAAAACTGCAAATGCAAAGCTAAGTGAATATGAGTCTAACGATACAAAATAAACAATAAAATTAGGAGATAAAGAAAAAAAATCTATAAGATTAAAGCCATATGGATGGTTATTCTAAACAAAATTGATTCAGCGTAACATTTTACGTTTGAAAATGGAGGATTTATATAAAAGGTCCCAGTTCGATCAAATAAAATAATAATGATCTGAAAAATCTTTGACGTCTACTTTCAGACACTAGAAGAGGGAACGGGAAATCCCATTCTCTTCAATAACGAACATAATGTGTTAGCAATTTCACGAAAATCACTCATTAAAATCTTTCAACTCTTCATTTAGAAACTATCATTTTTTTAGCGATAAAAAATTACACTAATTGGTTATGTACTCACTATGTCTAAGCTTAACCAGTTTTCAGAAATTTTTAGTTTTCACTACAAAGTTTTGGATCTCCGCCAAAAAGTTGAATGGACTTACACGTAAGCATTTTATTCTACACTTGGGTAGCATTCTCTCCAGTGTTCAAAAAAGGTTCTTTCATGTCGCAAGCACTTCTCTTCCGCGGTTTTGGAGGAGGCTTAGGCACAGTTCGTGTCCTTAAAGTACCACTGACCACGTTAACACTGTAACCTAACCTATCCCGAGAATTCTTTAACAGCCCTTCGTTTTCAGCTAGCATTACTTTCAAAGGCCTTTGCTCTGATGGTTTTGGAATTCTCCCTTGAGCAGCATTGATCGACATAGCCTGGAGCATCAAGAGTTGGTTATGTATATTTGGAGAGCTTAGACTACTTCTAGGTATCGTTGCATGAGGAGTACCAGGAGCTGGAGAAGGAATTTCCATTTCTTCAGAATCGTTTAGATTTTGGCTCAACTTATTGACAGGCCCTAAATCCATTTCGCTTTTGTTTAAACTGTAGTAATTTGCTCCATTACCAAATAGTTTCATGTTAAAGTTGTCGTAATAAGGTATCACGCCGTTGAGTGTTGAAAATACTTGCGGTCGACTTTCGGGAAGATGTGTTCGTGGTCTCCTTGGTAAAGTTACGTAGCCTTTTGAACTTGTGAACGGTATGGGGCCTTGAGATTGATATCTGTCGTACAAACTAGAATTAGTTGCTGTTACTCCATAAGCTGGAGATTTTATAGGGCTCTCCGTAGTGTGGGTTATTTGTCGATCTAAAGACATCCCACCAGCCGGTGAAACTTGCACGCCTCCAATACGAGGAAATGATAGGAGATCTGGTGGGTAGGCCTGGTGCTCTTGCGTTAAACGATTCAACAATAATGTCTCCTGAGATATATTTGGAAGTTCTACTTCTAAAATCCGACTGTTGTCTTCAGTAGAAGCTGTGGACAAAGCAAGATTTTTTTTAACTCATATTTCTGGAAAACGTATTTATTTCACCTCTAACAGTGTAATAAAATGAGAAATTAGTTTCAATTGAAGATGTAATGAAATTTTAACCCTTTGACGTTCAAATAAAAATTTGGCACGAGAACTGTTTGTAACTTCAATCGAGCCTTGGCACAAAGGAGCGGGGACCTCATTAAATTTTATGGTCCAACGGCCAAAGCACGCGAACGTTGAGAATGTTTTACTGAAAATAGTTGAGTGTAATAGTAATAAATTACATGGAATTATTCCTTTACTTGCATCTATGTGGCACAGAACAAAACTGATAATTGACGGAAACTTCTTTAATAAGGCTTACTTTTCGACAATAGTTAACAATATAAACTGCATACAGCAGTGATTGAGAAAAGTTACATGCATAACCATAGAGGTGTTACTCATTAACCCATTTTTACGTCTCACCACTGGACACGGGTTCCCAGGAGAGGTTTTAGGCCATAGTCCATTACGCTAGCATGATGCGTGTTGTCATTTGATACAATTCCGAGAAACTCAGACGTGCGAGTCCGGATTCAAACCCACGGCCGCTGCTCGAGAGACGGTAGGACAAACCATTAGGCATCGTCTTAACTACGGCCTAATTTTATTCGATACATCCAAACTAATATTCAATACAAAAGCGCAAGTAATTTTTCTGTCTGTCTGATACGTTTTTACGTCTAAACCTCTGAATCAATATTGATGAATTTTGGTATGGAGATAGATGGGACCTAGGTGGACATAGGCGAAATAGGGGATGACAATTTGTATGGAAAAACAATAAAACTATAAAAATAGTACGGTAGGCTACTTAACTTGAAGTACTTATTCTACGCAGACAATGTCGTGGGCACCAACTAGTCTTAAATATTCGTTTTGAATTTTAAATTCAACAATTTAAATGAAATTAATGAAAATTCTGCGGTTTAAGTACTTTTTTTTCGGCCTTTCTATAGCGAAAGAAAGTCTAAATTAATAAAAGGTTAAAGTAAAAAAGCTGTTAAGTACTATAAAAAGCAAATACATGTTTGAAGGAATAAAGAAACTTCTTACTATTTTCTTGACGACGTTAAATGATAAATAAAAGGTTCTTTAGAACAAACGACTTTTGTGAACATTGAAGATAGATTGTGTTGGCGACTAAGTGGAAGTAAAAGTTTGTTTCAACTCCTTCATTGCTCGTAGTTTTCATGATGCTAAAATACAGAAGTGGTTTTAAAGGTAATATTTTGTTCCAATTTTATTATGAATGACACAGTGGTAGTATACTGTGTGTTTTTTTAACTGGGACGGTATAGGGGGATCCGAAAGCATGGGAGATACAGGGAAACTGTTTTAGGAACCAAAAGAAAAAAATGGGAGAGCAGAGGTCAAGTTCAATAAAATGTTTTTTCATATATTATTTTGGCACATTTTATTAGGTTCCTAATACAGTTTCCCTATATCTCTTCTATGGTTTCGGATTTCTCAATACTGTCCCAGTTAAAAAACACACTGCATATTTAAAATATCAGTGACTATAACATTAAGAAAGTACTTAATCACTTACTTAGCGCAGATTCACTATCCAACAAAGTCCTGTTCAGTTCTGACATCTCTGTCACTTCACTGGTGAGAGAGGGCGGTGGATCGTACTTTCTAGGGGGCTTAGTTACTGGATTTATTTCCGGTTTCAACCCCTTCTCTGTGTCAGAGGCCACAGATTCAATTAACGCCTCTCCGTTTGAAGAACGCGTGTCCGTCTTAATCAGTCTTTTGAGTTCGCTATTCTGTGAAGTAAAGTAGCAAACAGTCATGACCGCTCCAAATATAATTACAATGGCAGTCAGACAGCCTATTAGTATAGCAAATGTATCTGTATCTAGACCAGCTATGGTGTGGTAACCACCGTATTTCGATAGTACCAATGTTAGAGTTTTCTCATCTCTACCACCTGGATTCTCCGCTATACATGTGTAATTCCCTCTGTCGCTATAACGCGCGTTTACTATGGTAAGATTTACCCATCTAATTAAATCCATAGTATTCTCAGACACGATATATCTAATTTCCCCGAACGCTTTCATTTCAACAGTCTTTCCGTTGTACCGCCAAATGACTTCAGGTGTCGGATTACCGACTACTTTGCAAGTTAGGGTAATGTTTTCATCGTAACTTTTGACCGTTGCGTCTGGCAGTGGCTCCAAAATAGTAGGCCGACAAGCAAAGTTGGACGAGTCTAATTCATTCCAAAGTTTGTCTTTCACAGACGGCGGCTCTGCGCACGAGGTGGGAGGAGTGTACAAGTTATGAGTGATGACCCAATCTCTAAACGCTTGCAGGTTGCAATCGCAACGCCACGGATTGTTGTGCAGATCGAGGCCTGATAAGTTTCTGAGCGCCATCAAAGTTTCCGGTTTCATGTGGCTCAAGTTATTTCCATCAAATCGCAGTATCTTCAATTGTGGCAAATTCACGAACGCTTTAGTCCCTATCCGGACTATCCTATTATTGCTCACCTCGACTTTCTGAAGGAACTTCAAATTGCGAAACAAGCCGTCCTCTAACTTGTCTATGTAGTTGTTGCTTAAGTTTATTAATCTTAGTTTCTCTGTGCCTTTGAACGTGTCCGGGTGGAGGTATCGGATTCTGTTCTTAGACAAATCTAGTTCAATCATGATAGCTAGAGTTGTGAAGGTTGCTTTGTGGATTGTTTCGATGTTACATTCTTTTAGGAAGAGTTTTTTCAGGTTGGTTAGGCCGACTTTTTTGAATGCTTCTTGGTATAGTTGTTGAAGATTATTATTGGAGAGGTCTAGTATTTGAATATCACTGCTGAGATTTGATGGAATTGTTCTTAGACTAGAATTTGAGCATATGGCGGCTTTGTTCCCGGATTGCCATCGACAGTCGCATGGTCTCTGACATTCCGTGAAATCGGCGACTGTGGTGGTGAGTAACGCGAGGGGTATGAAAGCGATTTTCACCCATGTCTTCCAAGCTTTATGAGCCATTTTGCTATGATGGTCATTGCCACGTGTGGTTGCATTCCTGTTCAATACACGCCGCTTGCCTCATTGGGGTTCTGTAACAATGAATAATAATATTATTTTAGGCATTATTTTTAACAACATTTAATTTACAAATAAGGACTTGTCAGATTCCCAGGGATTTTTACAATCACTCTCTCACTCAGGTTTCTTAAAAGCCAGTTACAAAACCATAGTAAGTACGTAACCCTTCAAAATTAAAAGTGCAAGGTGTCTAACCTTGTGTCTGAAACAAACAAACGTCGTCTTAATTTATTTAAATTTATCACACAAACACGTCATTCTGAATAACTGCCTACACTGTGCAAAACTACTGCTTTGCGTCATGAGAATATAACGGTTTTAACATCTTACAATAAGGTTCCGAATGAAACTACAAGTTTTGAACAATTAAAAAATTGTGTAGAATTCGAAGGCATCATTATTTATTTGTAACAATGATAAATGTTATGACATTGTACATTATAGGAAAAAATAATTTATTTTCCTTTAACTTTTTAAACCAGAGATTCTATACATTTATTATTATTATTATGTACCGCCACTACTACCAGTTTTTAATTCAGAGCGCCACTTGTCTAATATTTTGAATAAATCTTACTGTTACAAATCAGTTTTTTTTACTCTTACACAATACTAGACAATAAAAAAGTATCACAATTCTTCTTCATTATTTAGTTTTATGACTGATTGGACTCCATTAGTATTTTTTTCATTTTTCAGATGTTCAGGCAAGGCAAAGGCTTCTTTTCCCTTCTTCCACTTATTACGATTTAACGCGCTACAAAGTAAGACGAGTGTATGGGTAGACAGCACGTCACGCCATTGCCTGCATTAGTATAGTACGCAAGTTACTAAATGCGTGTCTACATAAAGATATTGAAAACTACATCTGCTGTGATGCGCCTCACATAATGATCAAAATGTATTCTTGTAACGTCTCAATACCTATATCTCGCAAAGAAATAAAGAATTTGCGCGTTGAGACTCTCTTGGACAGTGGCAGCACTAACTGAGATACCTCCTTTTGCCTCCTGTGCTGTTAATGTTTAGTTAATAACTTGAGCGGTGTTATTTTTAATGTTTTCATAGTTGTTTTGTTTATAATTCGAGGCAATAATGAGGAATTTTATATGTTTATTTTATTCTTATTTTATTTGAATTTGTTGGTTACGGTGATAGTCCCGTGGGAGAAAGGTTGCTTTTCAATTAAGAGTTCGATGTGTGCGGTACCTTTGGCGGCATGTACATTTGTGAATATTTAGAAGCAGAAGCATTATTTCTCGCTCCCGGTGAAAGAAAACATCGTAATAAATGAAGAAGGTTCACAACCTTGGAAAACATGTTAAATTGCCAACCCGCATTGGATTAGCGCGACAAACTATGACCTAAGCCCACTCCTTGAACTGAATTATGTTGTAAGCTTTCAAGGGATAATACTAAAGGTATAAAAAAGAGTAGGCTCATCATCGTCATCATGTCCATTGCTGAACATAGGCCTCCCCAAAGATTGGCAGACTAGTCGGTCGGACGCAACGTGTATTGTTTACCTGCCGCCCTTACCAGGTCATCCGTCATTGAACGCTTTCCGGTTCGTGGTCTCCATTCGAGAACCTTTCTGCCCCAACGACCGTCAGTTCTACGAGATATGTGCCCTGCCCACTGCCACTTCAACTTGCTAATCCTTTGGGCTACGTCGGTGACTTTCGTTCTTCTACGGATCGCCTCATTTCTGATTTGATCACGTAGAAAAATACCGAGCATTGTTGGCTCCATAGCTCGTTGAGTGATTTGTGATCACGTTTGAAGAAGTCGTCGAGAACACTTTTGGCTTCAAGGACTGCGGTATTGCGGACGAGAAGACGTTCCGGAGCTTCCCAAAAGCTGCCCGACCGAATCGAATTCGACGAAGTAGGCTAATGGTAGCCTACTGGTTCTACCGGGTTGACTATGAGTTTTCCAAATTTATGTGCAAAATTTAATTTGAAATTTACTATGAGCTTTTCGGTGAAGTAAAACATCTTGAGGAAACCTGCACACATCTGTAAAGCAATTTCGAAAGATTCGCATTATGCCCCAGTGCGAACTACAGCTGTGATGTGTGAGAGGAGGCCTATATAGGCTAGCTATAAGGCATAATGGAGCTTACCGTTATTACAAATTCACAACTGTAAGTATCATATTGGTTTTAGTGGAATCAGACGATGGATAATTACATTGATTTAATGACATAGTAGTTACGCCAATGTTTAATCTTAATGTAAACAGTGCCTTGCTACTAATTTACCGTTTGTGGTTAATTAAGTGAACGTAGTTGAATAATGCATGAAGGAATGGCTTGTGATTTTGATTTAGGAAAACAAAGAAATCCAAACATGTTTTTGGTTTCGTTTTCTTAAAAGATTCAATTCGTTCTTTGTAATCGTATTAAGAGTCTATACAACCTGAAATGGCATTGATTAGTACATGGTGTGAAAACACGATTGTTAAAAACTTTTCATAATAGAAAAGAAAACACAAACTTACCTGGAAATTTCACAAGAAAACCAATGTATTCAATAGGTAGTTTATATAGACCAATTATTTTTTTAAATAACAAAAAAATAAATTCTGAAATAAAACCAGTGTCTCTGTCGCTCGACACAAGCAGAATGAACCGTTTAGTACGGGAAAAATTTGAATTCGCACTAAGGTAGTATAGACTCTTGGTAAAATTATTAACCGCTCACGCGATTCATGCGTCTCTGGAAGCATACCACACCTAGAGGTGCCGGTGATGATTTTATACCGATTTATCGGATATCGAAATTATAACAGGTAAAAGAACTAATACTAATTACTATTTCGGTAACTACTCTAGCAAACCATAAAGTTTTTAATGCCTGGGTCTGTCATTTAAAAAAAATAAACAACTTCAAAAATACGTCACGACAATCGTGTGTGTTTGGGCTGGTGATGTCGGTCTTTATTTATTGAAAACATACCGTAAGTTACGTTTTTTAAGTTTACCCTGAATATAAATGTTTATAAACTATACTTTAAGGAGTAATTTCATGGTAAACATTAGAACCACTCAAACGGAATATTATCATATTTACCCAAGTACACCAAAAATTTCATTAGTGCTTTTTAAGTGCAGGATTTGCGGTGTATTACTGCATTTTATTTGAGATGTTTTTGTTGTACTACGGAGGGTATTTATTTAGCAATGCAGAATAATAATTTTTATTTTTAAAAACTTGTATTTAAACTGAATCCTTTTCTAATTTGCGAAACCAAAAAGCCGCCATTTTGCGGTAGGATGAGCGCGTTAGCGATGAGGTAGCGTGAGCGGTTAAGTAATAAAAAGATCAAACCCAAAGAAAAATTCCTTCAACTTGACAGAAACTTGAACGAACTCTCGATGAGATCATAACCCTGGTTTGGCGTGGTTACAGGTTCGAAACCCATGTCGAAGGACTTTATCTTCGTGATCGATATTTGTAGTATTCATTATATCAAACTAGTACGAGTATAGTTATGTCACAAAAACGATGACGATGATGACGGTGGTAAAAGCGTCATGATATTCAGTAAAATAAATATTGTATCATCATAAACCCGTTTTATGCATCCCACTCCTCTGCGCAGGTCTCCAATCCGGCGAAGGTTTAGGACATAATCCGCCACGCTTACCCAATGTGGGTTAGGAACACACGTTTTTCGAGAGTAGTGATGTTTCTTCTGTTTCTTCCTTCTTCTGTGATGTTTTTCTTCACCGTATGTTAGATACACCGAAATATTGCATGTTATAATTTTATTGTATTGCATGTAATTTTTATTCTTTATGTTAAGTAATCTCATACTAAGTTTTCACGTAAAGCAATAGCTTCTAAAACAATACCTAACATGTCTCATTTTTCAAGAGAGACATCAACAAAATGAAGTCACAAAAAGTTGTCCCAAAAACAGTGGGCCGATGAAAGAAGACATTACGCCCATATCCCTTCACCGCAGGATGGCAGAAATGATTTTTTCAGACGACCTCCACGTTCATAACGCTTGAATGGCTAGGATGACCGTAGTTTAGAACTTTTGAGGAGAAAAACCTCGCTCAAGTCTTAATATATATTTTATTACTACTGCACAGGGAATATATTTTTTTTTAATAATACCATGGTAGGACGAACAACTCATGCACCAGGTGTTAAAGTTGTTGTTGTAGTGCCACTCAGAGCTTTAGATTGCAAAGACCTGAGGGACACTGCCACTGCGCCTGCTACCCTGAGACATAACTTAACCTGTCCCATATGTCTGTGGTCACATAACTGCTAGGTGGTAGTACTTTTGGACGCACTCTTTCACTCAAAAATTTGAGTTATATAATATAACTCAAATTTATATATTATATAATATTATATATTATATAATATTATATATATTATATTTATATATTATATAATATATAATATTATTATTATATAATATAACTAATAGTTTTGCTAGGCGTTTATTTCTATTGTATAGATTCTCCACTTTACTATAGAATCAATAAACGATTTCTTATCACCTTGCAAACGTCATGGATAATGTTAACGTACAGTCAACAGACCATCAAGCTATACATTTTTGTTCGAATATCGCCTCCAGTGCAACAGAACAAGATCTGTAGTGTGCGTGTGCTGTAAGAAACTGCTTATTGATGACCTCAGTGGCCTAACGGCTTGCACTGTGAACGCCGGATGAGGAGGTCCCAGGTTCTAATCCTGGCGGGACCAATTTGGGAAATGTTTACTAAATGGGTTCTGGTCAGGGTGTTCCGGAAATTCCTTGCTACTTTGAGACCAGGTAAATTGGCGTGGTTGTTTAGCACCAGAGCAACGGAATCTCTCTGGGGCACTTCACAGAAACAATTAAAAAATATCATTTCTCAATTTGATCCTACCGTGAACCGAACCCGGGACAGCCACCGAGATCGGAAATAT